CATGTACTGGTTGGGCATGAAGGGCCTGGAGGGCAAGGAACGGGGAGGCTGACGTAGGCCACGGGGTACCTCCCTGGCCCCAGGGTGCTTGCCCGCCCCAAGGCACAGAGGGCAAGCACTTGCTTTGGGGGGACTGGGAGGGGTGTCCTTGTAGGGAGCACCAGTAGTGAAGAGCATGGGGCAGCTGGGGAAGGTCCCTCCAGGTCTGCCCACCCCAGGGCCGCGGCACGGTCCAGAGAAGGGGGGGCAGGGCAATGTGTCCCTCTCTGGTGGCATGCCAGGTCTTACAAGGGGTTCCTGAAGGCAGGAGGGGGGTCCTGGCAGCGGGGCAGCACTGGGTCCATGACCAGGGATGGTGAGAGCATCGGTGATGTGCTGCGGGGAGGAGCAGTAAGAGGTGCGGGAAACACCACCTAGCCATGCCTGGGGGCAGTGGGGGCCCACCCTGAACCGGCACTGCTCCTACCTGGGGAAGGAGGACCCGAGGTTGTTGGAGACCATCATGTTGACGTTGCTCTCGCCCGTGGGGTAGCCTGTGGGGACAGGCTGGGGGCAGAAGGGAGCAGGGGGGCTGCAAGCGCAGACGTGGAGGGGTTAGCATCTGAGGGTGTTCTACTACCTCGGTGCCCTCCACCCCACATGCCCGGCAGAGCACGGGGCAGGGCACGGCTAGGCACAGAGCCGAGCACTCACCAGATGGGACTGAGCACCGATGGCAGGCTCTCCGCGTGCAGCTCAGGCTGCAGCATGGGCAGGCTGAACACCTGAGTCTGGGGGGCCTCGGGGGGGGGCCCTGCAGTGCTCTGGGGCTGCTGGTCCCTGTAAAAGTGCATCATCCCCATCAGCGCAGGCAGGACTCGCACGCTGCAAGGTCCAGCCTCCAAAGAGGCACACGCACAAGTCAGCGCTCGCTCATGGAGAGGGCGGTGTGCTTGCAGACATGCTCTGCTGCAGGTCGGGATACCCACAGGGGATTCCTCGCTCACAAACACAGCCCCGTCTCGCATGGGCAGAAATCCCCCTGCCCAGCAGCAATGCTCAGGCTGGCCCAGTCAGGTCTGTACAAGCCCTGGCCCGGTGCAGTGTGGCCCTGCAGTGCCTGTGCACACACCACCTGCATGGCCACGGCCTCGCACGCACACTCACCTTTCACTTTCCACCGTCATCTTGATGGCAGTGGAGACATAGCCCCGGCCATCCTTGCCTGTCTGCTCTTCTGTTCAGGGAGGAGAAGCATCCATGAACCACCACCCCAGCACAGGGCCGTGCCGTGCCAGCCCTCTTTGCCAGCACTGGCCAACCCTGCAAGCTCTGGGGCCAGAAGGACCAGATATCAAACCCCTCTTCCCTCCCAAACCTCCCCACTTCTCCCCACAGCATTGCTGGGGAGGCAGGTGTGAAGCCCAGGGCCCATCTCCACTCCCACCCACTCACTGTTGTAGTGACTGCCAAACGCCTGGTCCTTGGGGATGTTGGGGTAGAGGTTGCGGAGCTGCCCCAGGTCACGGATGCGGTCACCGAGGGATCGGATGGACAAGTCCTTGGCAGAGAAGGGCTGGATGTTCTCCACCTGGCTGGAGCCTGAGGGCAAACACGGCACAGGGCTCCATCACCTGGACTCTATCATGCCAGACATCCCCAGGCCATGATGATGCCTCCCCTTCACAGCAGAGAGCAGCCCCCGTCCCCCCATCTCACCATCCTTGCCCCGGATGACGTGAGCAATAGTGACACCCCCGATCTCTGAGTCGCTGAAGCGGAGCAGGAAGGTGCCGTCAGGCTCCATGCTCAGGAGCTTGCAGACGTACTGCTTGCTGATGAAGCCGATGATGAGCCTAGAGGGACGGACAGATGGGAGAGTGAGCCAGTGCCAGGGCAGAAGGAAGGGTGGGACCAGGACTCCTCAGGCCTGGCCCCAGAGCAGCTGTGAAAACCCGCTTGGCCCCTTGGACCTACCTGTCTGACCAGTAACTTTTCAGGCATCTCTTGGTGAGGTCGAGCACTCCATCAAACCACTGCCAGAAGGTGAATCCCCGACCAGGCAGGATCTCCTGGGGCAGAGAGAGAGTGTGAGGCTCCCCAGGGCCATGCTGGGCCCTGCCCACCCTGGCTAGCCCTCCCAGTAACCTTGTTGAACTGGGCCCAGGAGACACTGCGGCTCTGGAAGTCCTCAAGGCTGGCGCTGTGGTCGTTAAAGATCTTCTGGGCCAGGAAGAAGTAGTGCTCCTTGAGAAGCCCCTTGGTGGTCTGCACCTCCGCCATGAACTTCAGGTTCAGTGTATCACACATCTTCTCCCAGGGCACCCGCTCGGCCACCACAAAGGGCACCCGGTCCTGTGGCAGGGCAGGACAGCATCAGGACAGCGGCTCACCCACTGCCCTGTCCAGTCCGCTGCATCCCACCTGCGTGTCAGTGTTCCTGCTCCAGCCTGCCTGCTGTTCCCATCCCAGAGCTGGACACAATCCCAGTGTCCCGGCAGCTCCTTCCCTCGCCCTGCAGCCTCTCCCTCCAGCTCGTGGCACTCACAATCTCGGAGAAGGCGTTATCCCACAGCACAGTTGCTTTGGCATTATTGTCCTGGTTCCCATGGACGATGACCACGATGGGCAGAGACAGGACCTGGGGGCAGAAAGCGGCCCCCCCTCAGCCCAGAGGCCACCCTGAGTGAAGTGGGGCTGGCTGCCCTGGGATCCTCCCAGCCTGGTATGGGGCTCTGCACCGGGCAGCCTGGGACAGGGCCCGTGTGTCCCGCAGGGGAAGGCTCAGCAGGAGAGGGGCCGGTACCTGGAGGTGGACAGAGAAGTTGCTGGGGGTCAAGGTCACAGTGGTGCTGAACAGGACGGCACACTTCTCCTCCGTCACTGACTCTGACCCCTTCCGCTCACAGCGCTTGATCTTCTTCAGCAACTGGGGAGGGGAGAGCTGAGCGTCACCCCCAGAAAAGCACCAGCCTTGGGGCCCCCCAGCCCGCTCTCCTCGATGGCCCTGCCATCAGGGCCTCCT